CCTCCTCCCTCCTCCGCCGACGCGGCCTCGCGCGTCCGTTCGGCACCTTCTCCTCCCAGCTCGCGGTTCCGCCCCCCACCTCCGCCGCGAAACCTCACGGTTTTTCGTTCGGTCGTCGTGTGGACCCCTCGTCCTTCGCGCCGTCGAGTGTTAGCAAGACGCCCAGCGCGTCACAGTGTTGCCAAATCCGCGAGAGCTTTTCAAGCGGCGCGCGCGACCCACCGTGATTTCCAGAAACACTTTCTGCGATAGCCAGATCGGAAATCGGCCTGCGAATCGAACCTCGTATACGATATCGAGTCGCGTCGCGTACGTCGCTCGCGATACCGAGCAGTGGAGTCTTCGATTGGAAAAATGCTGATTCCGAATGTCTTAGGATTCAAGCTTTTCGTTGCGTCTTCGAGACGGTGGTAGGTTTAACTTTGCAGTCACTTTAAACAATGAATTAACGATGGTGAATCGCTTGGTTTTTATTCCACTATCCGAAATGTCTCTTATTCTTCCTGGTAGAGTTCAGAGTTTAAGTTCCCTCGCCTGACGATAGACGTATCGCTCCGGGAAGCTAATCTGAAAATGATAGGTTTCGAATAGGGACTGTCGGGATCACATAGAAGCCCGTTGACGCGCATTGCGAATCGAACAGTTAGTGTAAATAGAACCACGATCGATTTGACTGACTTTCTCCGTTTCGAAGGGTCGACAACGTTTAACGACGCTAAAGCTGTTTCGCCAGCTCTGTCATTTTTCCGTCATTTGGGATTTTCACGCTTTTACAACTAATAAGTAACGCTTCAACTAAAATACCCCGAGTTCACTAGAGATATTATCATAGCAGTTCATCCGACTTATAATCTTTTTGAAGCATAAACCATTATCAGAGTGAACAGCGTTATACAGTGATGCGTTACATTATAAGTCGTAATGTCGTTCGAAACAAACGAGAATATCGTTTCGCGTTGCCTGTCAATTTGTTCCTTTAAGTTGGACGTTTATCAAATCCCGTACAGTATTATTACAAGTGCTGCGAATCGTTCCCCCGTTCGCGCATGTTAATGTGTATTGTCAGCTGTCGGTCGTCTGACAGACGGCAGTGAATGGAAACAAACGGGATTCGCTTCTTAGGTAGCTAGCAAAACCGAGCTAGCTACATGAGCAGTTTTAAAAGTCTCTAATTGCCCTCGACACATTAACGGAAAGACGCTAAATGTCTATGTACAATTGTATCCTCACGGCAAAGCCGACAGCTAATCCTTTCACCAGCAAGTACTTTTATTTTAATATAAATTATTCCTGAAGAGAAGCTACGTTAAAACTGACTACGTGGAAGTTTCACTTCGGATAATTGGTCTCCCGTGGAATTGCCAAGGGTTAACCGGGAGATCTCGAAAGGAAA